GACGGAGTCGTATAGCAGGACTCAGTTCTGCAAATGGCCCTGTAAATGTCCCAAAATCCCTCCACGCTGCCCCCTGGGGGTCAGCCTGGTTATGGATGGCTGTGACTGCTGTAAGACCTGTGCCAGACAGGTGGGGGAGACCTGCAATGAGGCGGACATCTGTGACTACCACAAGGGACTCTACTGTGACTACAGCGCGGACAAGCCTAGGTACGAAAAAGGCGTGTGTGCATGTAAGTGTCAAAATACATATTTTTGCAGCATCCATTGCACTGTTAATTACGCTGCACTATCTCAAATGAGCTTTTCTGGTATTGCTGGGGGGAGAGGAGGTTGGATGTTGAACTGTTTTTGGGGGGGGGGGGCATTTTATATCCCCAACCATCGTTTAGTTGTTCAAACCCATGCCTCAGAATTCCCTTTAAGCACAAAAAGGTGTAAATGATTTTATACTTTGTTTAAGATGACGTCATAGCACCAGTCTCAATAACACACACACACAGAACAAATTCCTGTGGATACACCTGTCTGTCAGGGTCATTCATCTTTCAGCATGCTTCAAGTTCCATTGTGCCTTTTAGGAGAGATAGCTGTGTTTAGAGGAGCAGTGTCTCGCTCACTGACATCACTGCAGGCTTGCAGATGCCCAGCAGAACCCAGTAGTCAAAGGCTGAGAACAACTTGTATGACTAAAGTCAACCCAACCCTGTGCACTACAGGTTGGAATACCTGGAATACAGGGCTCAGTGTACATGCAGTCCACTGAGTATACAAAGTGAGCACTTTTACTGATTCAGAAATTAGTGAAACGTCATCACAGAATGAGTGTTGGTTTCTGAAAATAGCTGTAATTTTATGGCTTGAAGGGAGACGGTTTATGTCTGGGCCTTAACTGCACTGGCACTCGTTAAAGATTTATTAAAGTGCGTGACATTTCTTTGAGAAGACTTGTACAGGATTAAAATATCTACCTCCACCCAAAAAGATTTTTTCATTAAATGCCTTACCACACTAAAAATGAAGCTGTGAGACATCTAATAAAAAACGTCTGGGTGGATGAAGACATTTTAATGTACATGTATCTAGATATTTTTTCAGTTGGTCCACTGGAAAGCAAGTGGAACAATAAGGGATTGAATCCATTCATTTTCTAACCGTTTTATCCAATACAGGGCTGTGGGGGAGCTGGTCTATCATGGAGGGGAAATCTAGAGCACCCAGAGGAAACAAACACGCAAACCTGGGGAGAACATACAAACTTCACACAAATAGCAGCCCAGGTTCAGAATTGAGTTAGCAACGCTAACCTCCGCAACAACATGCCACTCAATTGAAAAAAAATATGTGACCTAGTATAATAATAATAGACATCAAGAAAGAAAAAATGACGTGGTCTGGAGCACTAGTTAGGACTATTCCCCCTGAAAGTTGAATTGAAACGTAGAGGACAGCACACCTAGTGACGAGAACAAGTTTGGCGACACTGCTCTGTAACTCTAGGGAGCAAGAGCATGTTTCCATTAACCAAATTAACTCAGGCTTTGGAGGTGATTTACGTAGCCATTTTGTACCTGTCCAGATGTGGTCGGAGTTGGATGTGAGCACGATGGGGTGATTTACCGCAACGGACAGAGCTTCCAGCCCAGCTGCAAGTACAAGTGTCTCTGCGTCAACGGGGCCATCGGCTGTGTGTCCCTGTGTGACTCCCAGCCGCCCCGTGTCTGGTGCCAGTCCCCTCGGAGAGTCAAGGTGCCTGGAAAATGCTGTGAGCAGTGGATCTGTGACGAAGAGTCCAAGAAGGTCCGCAAAACAGCACCCAGGCACACCACTGAAGGTGACGCATAGCCTGTTTCTTTTGTGCTTTAAAAGCGAAAACCATGACATGTTTTAGAGGTATCTCGATTTTTCAGCCTTTCCCCTGTCAGAGAGGCTTGTCATTTCCGGATTCTGAAGCGCTTCATCGGAAAAGGGTGGCGTTTCAAAGCTCAGGATGAACAGTTGATTCTGTAAACTCCAGTGCTGTCCAGCAATGTGCCAATGAGAGTGAGAAGTCACATCCATCTAAGTTTCTGTCATTTGTTTTCTGTGTTGTAAAGAGAGTTTTGATGTGATAAAAAGGTCTGTTATGGGCAGGTTTAAAAAAACAAGTGCTCATAGTTGCAAAGGAACTGTCAGAGATGTAATATAGTGTTAGCAGTGGTAATGAGAATAGTAAACATCATGTTTAAGACGTGTAGTATATGTAACAGGATCTCAGTGGAAAGAGTCATTTACAGAATTGGCTTCATCCCACTTTGAAATCTAGACAATCTCTGTTGCCAGTTACTCCATTACGCAGTCTTTTGGCTTGACAGAGTTATTTACTGTCTAAGGGGTGGCGCTGTTTGTGCTCAATGCCCATGAGAGATCAAATCCCAGTGGGAGCAAGGAGAATTGCACTTGTCACATGTACAGAAACAGAATTAAGAGTGGGTGATAAAAAGTCTTAGGAAAAATTACATGAGAAAATACTCAAGAAGAACAGTTTCTGTAGTCTTTAGATAAAGTACAACACTTCCAACTCTGTGCCTTTTGGTTAAATCAGAACAGAGATACTAGCTGTGGTTTTGATTTTTGTAAGCTCAGGAAAAAGAAAGTATTTCAATATTTAATACTTAATGTCCTTATAGACTTTAAACACAGTTTACATTGACTTGCCTCTTGTGCTGGGCAAGATAAGAAAATGATGCATGGTTTACTGTGCTTGAGATAAGCCTTTCTTCACAGCGAACTATAAGCTCCAGATACGCTAACTACCCTGCATATTAATTAACAATTTCGATCCACATCATTCCAGTTATAAATGCTGGATTATATTTCTTCAGAATCATTTCTAAATTAAAAAATGAAAAACTACGACACTTACCAGGAAAAGTGGACTGAAAATGGATGAAATCCTTCCCAGAAATCATTGTAGTGTTAGGTCTTTGGGGAGGCTGATTACAGGAGTCACACTTCTGTCTCATTTATATAAACACACAACCTGTGAGACAATATTTACCATTAATATAACTGATTAAAATGATAATACATTGTTTTGTTGTCTTTTATACGTTAATAAACCAAACAAAAACGAATTAGTTATGTTTACAACAAGGTTTCCTTTTGTGTAAATATTGGCTTAATCCCTTTAACTTTGTTAAAACTTGAAAAGGATATTATACTGTGCTGTAAACAGGCCACCATGTGTGTTTGGAAAGCTGGTACATAAACTTGGAAACTTAGCTTCTAGTCTGACTGCACAGGTCCGCAAATCTCTTTTCCGTGATTGCCGGTCATCCTTCTTGAAGCTTAACCTCAGTGGGGGTTTTTTTCTTTTTGCACAGTTGACCAAGCCGAAAATGAAGTCTGGCATAAAAACTGTGTGACCCAGACAACTTCTTGGAGTGCCTGCTCTAAAACCTGCGGACGAGGGCTGTCGATGAGAATTTCAAATGCCAACGATCAGTGCGAGATGGTTAAAGAGACACGTCTTTGCAACCTTAGGCCGTGTGAAGTTGACATAACCAAGCACATCAAGGTAGGTTTCTTTTTAGTAGCACCTTTTCTTTGTAGGCATGTAAAACAAGTTTTGACATGAATAGTTTAATGTGCCGCAGTTTTAAGTATGGCCCTCTCTTTACTGGCGAGAAGAAATCCATAATTCAATTTTTCATTTACTGTCCTCCCTGTCCTTGTATTTTGTGTGAAGACAGACCTTCAAGTTGGGGGGGGGGGTTGATTGAATCAGCAGGCTACTGAATGAGGGAAGTATGAGAGTGGTGAAATGAATTGACCTTTTCATTTGAAATTAAATTTCCCTAAGAGGCCTGGAGTTGACTCCTGCCCTTGCCACAGTTGTTTTAGCCAGCCCCTTTCTAAATCACAATTGCCCCTCTCTCACCTGTTTCTCCATCTTCCAATCTGCCTTCACCCCTGATGGAGTCACTTCTGTCAAAGCCTCTCAGCTGTCATAAGAACATAAGCAGAGCTCCAAATTTCAAAATCCATCCAGCCTTGTCTTGAAAGAAAGGTTAACTGCATCAGCAACTTAAGCGGGTCGCTTGTTATTGAGTCTCGGAAATCCTTGTACAAAAAGTGCCTCCTGTTCGCAGTTTTAAACTCACTTCCCTTTAGTTTCTAGTTGTGCGTGGTTCATGTTTCACTGTGGATTCTGAAAAATTTGGTCAATGCTCCTCTGTTAACAATGCTTACAGCTCAGAAGACACACATAACACGGAGCATTTAACCCTTATTAACAGCTGCTTATTGTCCTCAATACCCTGAAAACCCTAAATCTGAAAGTGTCATATCCGAGTCCACTAAAAAAGGACAAACACAGCAATTTCCATATGAGTTATTTAGGGAGAAATTCAGCTTTTCAATTTTATGAAGCAATTGGCATGTACTAAATAACAAAAATGGCCCTGAAAGACTTTGAAGGGAATATTAAAAGTAGGACCTCTTGCATGTCAGAATTACACTTGTGTGATTTCATCTTAATTTTGCATTTCATTTTGCATCTTTTTGCTGCCAATTTCTTTAGAAAGCTTTCAGACTGATGAAGCCTTAAGATTGACAATTTTCTATTACGACTAATCTATGAATGCTCCTCTCCGACCATGTCCATTCATAATAATATGTTATTTTCTTTTTGTGCATTACAGCCTGGAAAGAAGTGCCTGTCAGTGTACAGGGAAGAGAACCCCAGCAATTTCACAATTTCAGGCTGTGTCAGTAAGATGCCCTACAGGCCTAAGTACTGTGGGGTCTGTACAGACAATCGCTGCTGCATTCCATACAAATCCAAGACCATTGAGGTGCAGTTTGAGTGTCCCAATGGTTCTGTATTTTCTTGGCAAATGATGTGGATCAATGCCTGCTTTTGCAACCTGAGTTGTAAGAATCCCAATGACATCTTCGCAGACCTGGAGCGCTATTACGATTATTCCGAAATCGTGAACTAAGAAAAGGAACGTTTTTTCTGTCAAGGAAAATGCAGGGTTTTTTTTTTCTTTAAATTCCCCCCCCAAAAAGACTTTTTCTTCTCTCACTCCTTACCGCTAGGTGTCCACTTCCTTGTCTACTTAATAGTTTAAAACCCTGAACAACGCTTTTGAGTTTTCTGTGATGCACCTTCACAAAAATACTCGCTGAAGAGAAATTTAGACTTATTTTTGAAATGCTGCACTGCACAGTAAAGTGCTTAGAAAAAGAATGTGCATCTCTAAAAAAGTATCTTGTTTCCTATTGGAAAATATATATTTATAAAAAAAAGAAAAGAGGATTATGTTAATGACGTTGTCCTGGGTAGGACATAACTGCTTTTATAAATCTGTTCAGATCCATTGGTAGATCACATATGTCTCTTGCCTTAATGTCTTAGAAATACCAGTATCTTGTACTGTTATTTTTGGTTTGGTAGCCAACAATGCCTGGAAGAACTTACACAATCTTACTGTCTGAGAAGTGGGAATATTAACTGCATTTTACAGCCTACAAATGTAGGCCAGTATATTACTCCTCCTCACTCCTCTACGATTATATTAGGATATAATCAAACCTCACCACAGCAACACTGTAGCTTAGCTTAAAGCAATCTTTATGGAAAATATCATGTCTGAATAGCAAAAATCCCGACTTTGACAGCATACAAAAGAAGGTATGACCACAAAGTGATATAACAGACTTTCTTTATTGCACCAGAGAAGTAGTTTAAGCATTGACCATTCATTTTTATTGTGTTGTATCCTCTCTGTTGTGTTTGTTGTTGTAGAGTTATGAAAATGTGCTAGATACAGCACTCATGTTAAAATGTAACTAATTTTAGGTTAATAAGGTTTTAAAATTCAGATGCTAACTAAACCGTGGACTTCCTTATGAAACCCAGGTCACAGGGCTTCTGAGCACTATATCATAAAATCTGAAATAATATTCATTACTTTTTGTAGTAGTTGCTTTGAAAATTGATATTTGACAATACTGATATTCAATGACTATGTTGAACTGGAGCTTGATTAAACAATGATGAAATTTCAAAATTGTAAAATCCAAGATTAGCGACATTCCTCTGTCTCCACACATTCTGGATTCTCTGCCTCAGAAACATCTTTCTCTCAACCATACACAGTTCCGGGACCTCAAGCTGAAAGTTTAAACGCTCTTGGTTCCGAGAGCTTCCACTTGAGAAAACTGCACAGCGTTGCTTGGCAAATTTTAGGTGCCTCCTTTGGAAAAAAAAACTAACTGAGCTCCTGACTGCAGTGATACGAACAAATAAGCACATGGATATCAACACTAATAGGGCACTGAAGCTCTTAATGTTAATATTCTACTGTTGGAAGTTATGACCTAGTGCTCAGGAATCCTTTAAACTTACGATTTGTAGAGACCTAACCTGTTAAATTGTGGCCCTCTCAAAGACCTGAGGACCTCTACGCTAAACTATACAATAGAGCAGTTGCATTTTTATAATGAAAAGGAACAAATTATACAGTTTTGCTTCATATACAGTACAAGAGATATAGCTTGGATTGAATCTTCATATTCTTACTAAAATATTCTTCCCCAATTTCTTTTTTTCTAGAATGGAAATCAAGAACAGAAAATACACAAAATCACATTCTCACATGCTGTATCTACAGGTTAGTTTAATAACTGTAAATATTGTTGTATTACATATCCAAAACATTTTTATTTATTTTCTCTTTTGACACATTCCATTTGTTTCGGTATGATTTTGTTTTTCCATCGTTACTCTTTGCTCATTTTTATTTGCTTCCAAAACTAGAAAAGTCAATTTTTCTGTTCCTCTCCAATTCAAGCCATGTGTACTCTTTGTCACAGAGACAGATTAAAATGCTTTCCAGGTACAGAATTTATTTATATATATATATTATTCATAGAGATCTAATGTGTTATAAACTGTATGTTTATAACTGCAATGGGGAAAAAGTAAACAGAAAATACTTAATTTTCAAACCTGCTGCTCAAAACTCTATGATGGCGATTTTTGGAGAATGGTCTCCAAACTGAGGTTGTTTGTATATTTTACACTAATATAAAAGAAGCAGCAGAAAAGAGACAGCACCAAGTGCATGTAAAGAAAATATCTAATTTTAGTTTTTGTTTTATATCAGGGACTCAAAATATAAAAAGAAAGCTTTGTGAAGTGTTTTAATTCAAAATTGTATAAAGTCAATATTACAAATAAACAGACATTTCAAAGTTGAATACAAGTGCTTCTTGGTTATACTATTTTCCTTGCACTTAAATTGTGTTTATTGCATTTCCATATTTACATTCATGTTCAGCCACTGTACTACAGAAAACTCCACTGACAGGAAGAGAAAACAAAGCGTTGCGAATAGAACAGATTGATCATGCAATGACATAAGTTTTATCATGAGGAACTGAATTTCTTGCAGGCTTTTCAGCACTAACTGGTTCCAGAGCTAGTGCTACTTCTGCAAAGGCAGACTGCATGCTATTTCTTAACCTTTAAACATTATTTTCCCCAACCAACAGCTTCACGTTTTACTCCCACCAAAGTGAGCTAGGCCCAACCATCCAGTATACAGATGTGGAAGAAGAACTGATTCACTGTCAGAGAACTTAAAAGTCTGAAGCATTGCTTCATCAGTTCACATTTCTGAATCAGTAGCTACATTTGGAGTGTCAGAACCACATCTGCTCATTTAGAGGAATAAACCCGCTTAAATGTAGCTCATCTCTTATTTTATCAATAATTAAAAGTACAACATGCTAGTGGTAGAATAAATCAGATTAAATTGTTATAAAATGCATTCCTTGTCATAACTGCATTTCCTGCTGTAAAGAGCAGCATTGCATACTCCTCTATTGTGGGCTCAACCTCCGTTCCCTATAGTTCCTCGGTAAACTGCTATTGTACGACATCTTTCTGGACACTTCATCTAACCATTTATTCCTTGTCTTTCAAATAGATAATACGCAGAAAACTTAAAAAGCCAAAGCTCCCCAAGATATATTAACTTATTTTATTTTAGTAAGGCTCTTAAAGAGTATTTTACTATTACAAATAAAAACAAATCCAAATTCAAACCAATTTTAGTATTTTTCCATGAAAACTTTTTTGGTTCAGAGTTGACGAGATATGCAGTATGTCTATCAAAGTGTCAGTACAATTGGTTGAAGCTCAGGAAATAATTTAAAATAGCAATTATTAAATGGAATCTATTAAGTGAAATTCAGGACGGATGACAACAACAAGTTAATCTCACTCGCCTGCACCAAATCGCCAACATTATGAAATTCGCTACAGTATATATACAGTACAGTACCAAACTCAATCACCTCCCTTCACGTTCGTCTCCAGCGTCCCTCCTCCACCACATGTCCACCTTGCAGCTGCCCCTTGGTTCACTCAGCCTGAATGGAGTTCGAGTCTCCTCGTCCTGTGGCCAGGAGGCGGCCCGTTAACCAAGTGCCTCAAGCCAAACTTTTCTCACCAAGTATTTCAAGCATTCAATTCTTGGATGTTGCCATCCCTAGTGAAGTTCAATTAAAATTACAAAAACACTTTCAACACTTAGTTAATTCTGTTAATGTAGCTGCTGTTTTAAATATCAGCTCATTCGAGCCTTTCGCTCGCTAACTCTAAAGGAGTCCCACCTATACTGGGAATAAGGAATAGTCACAAATTAATGGAAAAGAAAAAACACTTGAAAGTTACAAATTTTATTTTTGTTTAAATAAATACAAGCTTATCATTAAGAAAAAAAACATCCTTCTACAGTGTGCAGCTTTTTGCAATTTTACAAGGGTCATTTATCTAGAAAGCCAAATATTAAATTTTAATGATTTACTAAAATGCAAATTTATATAAAATTAAGCTTGCCAAGTATTTGAATCACATTAGTGTTTTGCTATTATAAGTAGAAGAATATTGCTCTCAAACCAGCAGGGAGAAGTAGCACAGAATGCAAATTTAGGGCTCAATGGCACAATTTGTTCTGCCGTAATCGTTTGCATAGAACAACAGATTTCAGAAAACCACAACTTACCATTACTTGCAAATTATCTTATAATTAGAAAAGAAAATACAAAAAATGGGTAATTTTATACATTTGATTTAGCTTGATGGAAAAGGGTTTCCCCATTGCAACGGCTGCCATCCTCCCCAAGTCTGGTAGGGTAACGCATACCACAGACACATATAGAAGAGCAAGGATACCCAAAACACACTGCACTTTACAGCTCACAAATTCATAGTACTAGCGCATTATATTCTCAAAAACATCAAAATTAAAGTTCAATCCAGGAAGCTCTACACTGATCAGCAATCACAATCTGCCCTCGTTTTCATCTAGATGGGCTAAATCTATTCAGTAAATTTGAATCAATTCAAGAGCACACTTCAAGTCTATCACCAAGATTATATCACCTTGACCTGGAAAACTGCAAGCTGTTTTGAAGGGCTTCCAATCAAGTCAATACCCCCTGAAGAGTGTGACTGAACTGCAAGTCAGCTTTGGAGAAACTAGAACAATACCTACCAAGTTTGGAGTTTTGAAGAGCATCGTTAAGGGTCTGCATTTCACCAAGCAGTCAGTGAGCTGGAGTGGGCATGTCAATTATCAATGGAACCAGTAAGGTGCGGTTCTGAAGCAGGCTTAGGCACAATGAAAATCTGGCAAACTTCAAGTCAATCAGTGGAGCAACTTCCAAAAGAGCAGCAGTTCGAAGTTTGACCACACAACGGGAGGGGGTGTCAAGCAACCATTGTGGTGAATACAGGAACCCTGTTTTGCCATAGGTTCACTGCATTATCCATACAATATCTCCCAACTGTCCCTGAACAGGAGCAGTTCGCTTAAGGGTCTGTATTCTTTCAAGCAATTCTAAACATACCTTGGGTGCAACAATTGCAACCGCTTAAGTAAGGAAATATGGAAATGAGAAGCAGCTTTGGCTGGTTATGAAATCTGCCAAGATTTGATTCGGTTAGGGCAGTGGTTCTCAAGGCAGAAGCTGAAGTTGTGAGAAGAAAATGGCGGTCATCAGACCATCTTGGTTAACACTGGAATACTGATATTGTCAGTATGATGTCTATAATTAGAGTTATTTTAAATATAATGGCCCAGTAACAATTTTAATTAGTAGGGGCTAGTGTTATTAGCCACTTTTTGACAAGAAAGATGGCAGACTGGAGGCCATCTCGATTCAAACAGGGACTCCATTTTTACATACTGTACTGCACATTCAACCCGTCAATAGTAGAATTAGACAGGAGCAGGCCACATACACCTGTTGCAGACATTAAAATTGTCATTGCACTTGAGAATTTACAAAGCTGCTTGTGTTGCCAAGTTCTAGATCAACCATTGTGGCACTTTTAAAAAAAATGTTTAGTCCATTTTTAAATTGTCTTAATATTCGAGTCGGACCACCATCTTGTTTGACACAGAACCCCAATTTGGCTTTCAAATTTAAGTGCTTAGATATGCCAGGATACCTGTCCAGTAAGAAGAAAAAAAAATCCTTCATCTTTAAAGCTTTCCGCTACCGGGAATCTTAAATGCAAAGACTGTCAGAGGAAGAATCTCAAAGCTCCATTCTAAATGATTTGTTTCGCTTTTTAAATTAGGACATCCGAAACCTCTAAAATGCACGCAACATCCTAAAAATCTTAACAGATGCAATAGCAAAGAAGATAAATTACAGATTTCATTTCAAATTAACTATTTACAGATTTTTATATAGCTTATGGATGCAGCTTTCTACAACAGTGGTGCATTTTCTTTGCCACAGCTGCCTGTACTGCATTGCTCCTAACAAAAAAAGCCACTTGCATTTATATGCAGCTTTTTAGCCTAAGTAGAGGACATTCATTTCTTACAATGGTACCGTCGGATTCTGCGATGTGTTTTTAGTTGCGGTCTACATTTTTCAAACTAAGATGAAGTTAATGTGCACTTTACTTTGCAGTTCATAAACATGTCATATGTCCTCAACGCAAACATTCTTTGGCATTAGAGGTGCAAAATTACAACGGGGAAAATACAGGACTGGTTTTGGAGGAGGAAGGGGGTGAAATAGAAAAACGTCCAATGGGCAAATCATGCAATGCCTTCAGTTTATTGTCAGCAGCAGCGCAGCACAGGTGCAGGCGGGGGTGTGTGGGTGGCCTGGCCAGGCGGCCCGTCTAACAGGACACTTCGGTGGACTTGGGCCCGGCCTGGTCCACAGAGTTGGAGTCGACCTGGGTGTCCGTGTGCGAGCGGCCGCGGTTCCCCTCCCCGGTGTGGGACCGGCTCCTGCTGCCCTCCCCCGTGTGGGAGCGGCTCCTGTTCCCGTCGAAGGAGGTCACGCTGGAGCCCGAGGCCGTGCGGGACCGCACCAGTCTCGTCATGCTGGCCGAGGGCACTAGGAGCAAGACAAGCAGGACGACAAGTGAGGCCCTGAAAGCGATCACGGTGCTTAGGTGTAGGGATTCTTAGGCACAACCCTTGCAATGACCTGCCTATCTATCTATTGTTTTCTGCCTTTAAGATAAGATCACTTTATTAGCAAAGTGCTATACCTGCATAGAGTGAAGTGACATGAGAGAGAGATCACTTTATGGGCCATATACAATTTCTTGTATTAGGAATCTGTCTTTTCGCATACCCCAACTTGCTCTCCATGAGACACGCAGACAGGGAGAGAAGCTTGGGGTCAGAGCGCAGGGTCAGCCTTGGTACAGCGCCCCTGGAGCAGTGTGGGTTAAGGGCCTTGCTCAGGAGCCCAACGGAGTAGGATTCCACTGGCGGCCATGGGATTTAAACCAGCAACCTTCCAGCCACAGGCGCAGATCCCCAGCCACAGAGCCACCACTCTGCCCCTTTTACATGGTGACTTACAGTTTTATACACCGACAACACAGATCTGACAGCATGCAAGCGAGTGTCCATTTACCAGTCTTTGAAGTGTACAGTAAGTACTTAACCTTTCTGAAGGAAACAAAAATACTTGGAATGACATGCATCCTCCTTTCATCATGCGTTTACTTTTTTTATTTTAAGTTTGTAGGCCTGGTCTCATTCAACAAGGCCTCCAGCAGGTGGCGGAAGAATTTTACAGTAGGCCTTTCTTGAATTTTCAACACAGTAACACAGAAGGCGATCAAATGTGAGAATGTTAAACCGCCAGATGGCTTCCATTTGTGTCCAAAAACAAGTTCATAAGATATTCATCCATCTAGATTTGCTATTCAAAGAATATATTTCAATCGTTAAATAAAAAAAAATCAGTAGTTATAGTGTTGTATGAGGTTTGTTTTGAGCACAAACTCGAATGCAGTAGAACGGAAACACTACATGTGTTACATGCCATTGCAAGACCATGCAAGAGCTTACAGGTCAGATGAAACCCAATACTGTTCGTGGAACGGTTATTCCTATGCAGAGAAGGTACAAAGATGAAACCTCAGCATGTGCTTTCAAAACAGTGCTCCCTATACTTGGCTTCAAACATAATTTTTCCACACACGTGAAGTGCAACTAGACATCTGTGTTGCCTTGATGTAAAGCGACTAGCTCTCAGCTGGGAGTCTGTTGGGCTCATTTCCACAATGCAAATCCATTCATCCATTTTGTAATCTGTTCAATACAAGGTTGTGGGGGAGCTGGAGCCTATCCCAGCAAGGCAGGATATGCATTGCAGGGCACACACAGACACAAACTCACATCGGGGCCAATTTTCCCAGAAGCCAATTAACCTACCAGCATGTCTTTTGACTGTGGGCTGAAACCAGAGCATATTGCAAGTCCTACTGCAGTATATACATTTCCAAAAGCTTATCTTAATACTTTCAACTTTGCCTCAAAAAGTACAGAGTCGCTTCTCACTCTTTGTGTACAAACTACAAGGGCTTCTAATAGCAATAGTAAGAAGATAAAAGACTCTAATAGCACAGATTCCTAATTTCCTCTCATTTTTAACTTGCATCACAGTATGCTGAAATCTATTCATTGAATCGTTACTTCTATGCAAAGAAGGAACAAAGATAAAATCTCAGCATGTGCTATCAAAACAGTTCAATGTAAAATAAAAGGCCAATATGAATATAAGGAATGAATACCACATGAGTGAAAAGAGATGTGTTGGGAAGAATGATTTTGAAGGTAAGGAATACAAAAATTAAGATAACAAAGGAAGAAAATTCCATTCCTTAACAACCATACCTTACTTTTTGCATACAACGATAGATTACTTCATTTACAATTGTTCCAATGTTGTACTTTCTCAAGTGTACTTTTCTTTTTTAAGAGAAGCTCTCAGGAAAAAGTATCAATCAGGAGTGTTTTCTGCAAGAGAAATGTACTTACTGTAACCCATGCCTTGGATGAAGTATTTGAAGGCTTCTGTAAGCTTTCCGGGCTGAGATGGAAAAAGTGGGGAAAAGGGTTATTTGGGGTATCTGCAGTGACCAGATTTCCGAAACAGAGCAGAAAGGATTCAGTGTTTTGCAACAAATGTAATTTTAAGTGGATCTTCCATGTGTGCAGTTGTTTAAATCCAAAGTCCATCTGTGCACAGATGAACTGCACTGCAGATATCACACAGGTGCAGGGGGGATTAATGTACTGTCTGGGGTTTTGACATCTTTACATGCCACAGATGGGCAGAGTGATTCAGGCTGCAGTTTTGTTTATAATCGGCATGTCATAAAAAAAAAGAGTTTAAGAATTTAAGTTAAAAGACTTACAGGTTTGATAGCATCATACATTTAATCAGAAAAAAAAGTAAAAAAGCTGCAATAAAAAGAGGAATTAAGCGAACAGCTAAGAACTCCAGCCTGAATAGGGGTCTGTTAAATATGGTTTCAGATGAAACCATTTAGTACTACTTTCTTACAAACTGAAATGAAGCCTCAATTCACTTTAAATTATCCACCACAGATCACAGTGCCAACAGAAATGCTTACAGACCTGATCAACCTGAGGTAGGCCTCCACAGTCTGCCATCTGCAAATTAAAGTGGAAAATATAATTTCAGCTTATGTAAACTTTCACATATCCTTAAATTTTCCAGGTTTCACATCCATAACTCATAAAGCTGGAGAGGGGGCAAAATTATTGAAGGCTTTTATAAAAATGTTTAACAAACTGGTCAACTGCACAACAGGGTTGTCAACACAATGGAATTACTCTAAATACATAGCTGCAAAAATAGAAAATACACACTGAATAACAGAAAACAGGGAGCAGACCATGTGCCCATGGGCTCCTTGAGGACATTTTGCTTATACTGTATATGTTAATTGCTCACAACTAAGAATACTTACCAAGTACTTATTGATCCACATTATCAGCAAATCTGGAAACTAAATCACCCGTTTCTTTTCTACTGTTACTTATTATAGGTGCCAGTATCTTACTGAATTCCCATGTCTTCTTTAGCAATAAGAGTTAAAATGCACACACCTTGAGAAGTGTAGTCTTTGTCGGGTCCAGCTTTGAATTGCATTCCACCTTAAAAAAACATTTACTGTTAAACAGAAGCACTCTTTTAAATCTACATTCCCCCGCCCTCCCAGAGGGGGCACCAGTTTCAGTAGGTAAAACTACTACTGTGGTCAATGTTATCTCAGGCAAGGGTAAAGTGCATGCTCATTTTTTTCCCCCAAGAACTTCCTAAGGAAAGAGTGTCCAAAACTATAAAGTTGGCAGGTGGCAGGGAGAATGATTCACTATAGTTACTTTCCCAAACCAGCAGGGCAATAACCGAACTATGTACCTATTTTCATAGTGCTGAGAAAGCAAGAAGCACCTAGAACTTAACACTTTTTACACTGAGCTATCAAACATAGGAAACAGAATGAAATGGGCTGGTTTATTTTTGGCGACCAGCTGGTATCTTGCTTAGGTGAATGTGCAGAAAGTAATTAGGTAAGGTAATTGTGCAATTTACAGTAAAATAATGAGTATTTTTCAAAATAAAAATCAACTGAACGTACCACTGCATCAACAGCAGGTGAACTGTCTCCTACTACCAGAAGTGCAGGGCACCTGCAGGAAAACGCCATTAGATCAGTATTTCAGAGGTTAATTACTGTGCCAATTCTGTCATTAAAATCCATAAAATAAACAGGAGAGCAGAATTTAAGCATTTCATTCATGAGCGTACAACTCACTTTAAGGTTTTCACATTGACATTTCCACCAGCAACTGGTCGTTCAATTTCCAGATCTCGTCGGCTGTAAACAAAAACAAAACGCTTTGTAACAAGTATATTAAAACAAATGGAATTTTATTTCTTTTATTTCCAGAGGCATTTTTAAAAAAATTACCTGTTGTAGGATTTTACAAAGTGCTGTAGATTGTGCTGGTTGACGTCATTGGCGATATGCTGACGATATGCTTGGATCAGGTCCTGGTTGTTATGGATTTCTTCCTACAGAAAAGGCTCATCAGTACGGACATGCCCTTCTTTTTGGCTCAGTCTTTATTGAACATGACAAGATAAATGACTAGTCTTACCGAGTAGAGTACAATAACCTTTAAAAACTATTTCTGGTTTTTACAGCTGGTCTTACCACAATTAATCATTCTTATTATGATAGGTGCTTAGGCAACTACAATATCTGACAGACACCCATCACAATTCATGCAAATAAATTACCAGTGTCCAGTTCTCTCACAGTAGGATTTGGAGATTACAGCAAAGTAAAACAAACATTTCATTTTAAACAAAATTAATCTTTATAAGGACACCAACTTTTACAACTGGAATGACAAGTAAGAATTTAAAAAGTTTCGAGTACAGTATACAGAACATCTTTTCTGGAAATAGCAAGATAAATACAAAACGTGTTATGGATTTTTGGACAGTAATCGGTAAACGTATTCATCTTTGAGTCCAGATTTTAAATATGAGAGCAACAGGGTCAAGAATAACCAAAACCTCAAGCCTGTATGTACTCTCAAACTTGTTTAAGGACACTCCTAAATGGTATTTCTGGCTACAAAATGGGAATTCCCAAGCAAATATTTGTTTGAATGCCAACCTTTATCTGCAGATGATTAAAAAAAATACCATTGGTCTGAAATAAATTGCTTTCTCAATAACCCAATTTTGCCTTTCACAATTCTTCATTAAATGCCTTTTCAATTAATATTTTTATTGGCAGTTCTGCATTGGTAACCCAGGAAAGGCACTTACCTTCCCAAACAGGTGAGTGATGACCATGTCTGGCAAAGCGTGAGCCCATCCAGAAATCTGAAATCAATTTTCAAATGATTACTTGTGAAATGCCAGGCAGACATAGATCTGCACTTGCCGATAACATCTTTAATGTAAGTAAAACAGGTTTAACGGTGAATGAGTCAACATTTGTATAACCTCTAGAATCTTAATTCTAACAGAAGATTTACTGACCGATCTCTACACAACAGTAAGAGAGTGTATTAATAATGTATCAAAGGTTTACACAGTACCACATTTCATCAAGATCATGATGTACCAGGGCTCTAAACAAAGGTTGGCAGGAAAAACTTATTTTGTTTACCTGCATGTTTCATATGCCACACTGCTACATTGGGTGCTCCATTGGCTGACTTTAGCTGCACACAACCATTTCAAACTTTCATTCTTGCCTACTGCCAATTTACCCACTCTGTCCCAGTCCATCTCCAGTCCCTCACCTCTCCCTGTACCCTCCCTGCTCCACCACCTCCAGGCGGCATTCATTCCCAACCCTGGATCTATAGCTATGAAACGAACTATCCATTGAAATGGAAACTGCTCAGTCCCTGAACATTTAGACTGCACCTCTAATCTAATCCACACACCATTGTGAAATTTTAGAAGCAAGCAATACTGCCCTCTGCTCAATGGGATTTCTTATTTTGCGCAACAATACCTTACTTACACACATTAACAATAATAATAATAATAATAATAATAATAAT